AATAAAGTCCTCTGTAGCCGGAACTAATCTCTTGTTCTGCCGCTGCTGAAGGAAATTATGAAATAAAACGAGTTCCGCTCGCGACTTAATTTATTTCCAGGTTAGGCAATTTAGCTGCTTACAAAGAAATTATACGTTATATAGTGTTTTCAAAATTAATAAAAACGTAATCGTAATAAAACAAGCTTATAATAACATAATAACGTGCTAATCTGGGACTAAAGTGGTCCATGTAATACGTTTGGATAAATCCATCTAAGAATCATCAGCTCACTATAGTTCCCCCCATTGAGAGGCTCAGAGCCTACTCTAAGTAAGGGGTGACTAGGCCGCGAAATCGTGCCCGTGGTCACGATGCGTTGAAGGAACAGAGAGGTTCAGTGGGTATGCCTCCGATAAGGTGGAGAATCCCACATAACTGCCGCATCCCCCCCCCGGAGGGGGCGGATCATGCATAAAGCATTCCTCTCTTCCTTCAAAAAAAGGGGTGACTAGGCCATAGTCAACCCCGCTGGTCCAGTGCGGGTTGGTTGACTTCACATATATCTTTGAATTTCTGATATTAAGTCCCAGTATAGCCTGCACTTTATTGGACCCGCGGGTAGGTGATCGACTCCGTGACCTTAACCCTATATCTTTCCAACCACACCACCACAAGCTACTGACTGTCGCATGTTCATAGTTATAGTCTGGTGCTTTGGTGTTTGTTTAATTATTGTAATATTGTATCAGGTCTTTAAAATTAACTTTCTATTACCAGGTACGCTGTTCTCTATCAGTATATTTAGCGACTTCATGAAACTCGATGACACCGTGGTTGGCATCATCTCCTGCACCAGCAAGATTCTCGCCTCTTTTATCTTTGCCTTCGCTACAACCACTACTGAGATATACATCGGTTAGTTTTACTTTTCCTTTGCTTTTATAACTAGTAGCGTTTGAGGATTATTGTAGAAAACATTATTAGACGTTTGTAACAACGAAGGACTTGTAAATTGCTTTCAATTTATCGGACTTAGGTCACAATAACTAAGTGTGGATTACTTGAAATTAAAGGTGCATAAATCTGTAAAAAGTATTATAAAAATCAGTCTTTGTTACATTAATTTTGTCTTATTTTTTATCAGAGTTTGTTGTAGATCTCTAAAATTTGTATCTAAAGTGCGGGTAAAAAAGATCTTGTACTTACAATTTAGTCTTCTCTCAATGTCATTGATATGGTTATATGATTTGCAGCGCCCCTGGTGGAAATATTCAACGGAACTTCCTTCATTGCAATGCGGTCTATTGCATCAAAGTTGGTAACGAGTGAAGAGTTGGGTAAGTAAATTTAATTAATAAACCGAGGCATTCTAAGACTAAAATCGCCAGGTTTTGATGAATACCCATTGTGTACTAAAGGCCTTTGTCTTATCTTGACGTAGTTTGTAATATAAACAAAACAAGCTAGAGTAGAGAATTAGATGAAAATTATATATACTGGTAAAAACAAACAAAACACCTGTCTTGTCCTGTGTTTTATATACGTGACGCACAAACTTATATCATTACCAAAGGTTCACGAAGTGGCACGTAGGGCTATTGTGTTATAAGATTAATAACCATTGTACCGCATCATACTGCAGATAACACTGACACGACGCGTATTCTTTTGTCATCTAAATATTTACATAATTTACTAGCTGTCGCCCGGGACCCCGTCCGCGCGGGATTAAAAATAGATGTTGGCCGATTCTCAGACCTACTCAATATGCTCACAAAATTTAATGAGAATCGGTCAAGCCTTTTGGGAGGAGTATGGGAACGAAAATTGTGATACGAGAATGTTATATATGTATATGATAAGATTATCACATTAATTAATTGTTTGTTTGTTTATGTTTCAAATATTTACTATATGTCTAGTCAATACAAATATTTGTGTCTTGTCTATATTCGATTTTGTTTTTATTTTCACTAACTTAACTTTAGTTTTTATTATAAATCAATAGATGTCGCTGTACTCAAATTTTTAGTTTTAAAAATTTCATCACAAAATTAACATTCATATGACCATATATGTTTTTAATGATCTTCATTCGTGGCTTTTAAACACGTTTTTCTTTTGCTTTTGGATTTTTTATCAAAATAATATCCCAAAATCCATTACATTAGTTTTGCATTTAAACATACTAATACCGTAAAATCAGATAAAAACGAAAATTTTTGCATAAAACACTAGCTTCTCTAAATCAAATGACAGAAATAAGCATGGAATTAAATAATTTTAATAATTACTTGAAACCAATTTTAAATTAAAATGCTTATTATTAATGATAATTTAATAGATTTTAATACGTTAAATTTTGTTTTGCAAAATTATGAAACATGCATAGGTTATTAACGTTCTTTAATTTTCTTTGTAACTTTTTTAACTTCTTTAGTGTCCATTGATTTACAGAAATATTGAAAAGTATGCGTATTTTTTTGTTAAGTTAAAAAGAGGATAAAATTATTTATATAAATATTTTCCAAATCTTTTTAGTAATGTAACAAATTATTCAGATTTAAAAATATCTTATTGAATGTAAAATTGGTTTCTTATAAATATTTTTTTGATAAAATAGCCGTATAATTGATTTGAAATTTAAATATTTTAATAGTTTTTATGTAGTTTTAATATAAAGGATTGACTGGTAAATTTATTTTGGTCTTAAATATTTAGCGTGTCAATTCTTTGCAATACTTTATTTTTGAATTATATCTTAAAACCAAATATGGTATTTGATTAATTGTGTTCTTGCCTTTTCATCATCATCATCATCATCAGCTCACTATACGTCTCCACCGAGGGGCTCGGAGCCTACCCTAAGTGAAGGGTGATTAGGCAATAGTCAACCACGCTGGCCAAGTGCGAGTTGGTTGACTTCACACATATCTTTGAATTTCTTCTCAGATATGTGCAGGTTGCATCACGATGTTTTCCTTCTTCGTAAGAACGTCGGATAAATGTACATATGTAAATTGGAAATCGAAAAACACATTGGTACATGGCGGGATTCGAACCCAGGACCTGCAGATTGCAAGTCAAGTGCTTAAACCCTAAGAATAAATTTAGGTCAAATTAGGGTTATTGTTTTTTTTAGAAGTTTCGAATGAACATGAAAATATAAATATTACCTAATTAAGATCTGTATAAATTCTTGAGCGACATCCCTCTTTGTTATAATGTTTTTTTTAATTAGTTTGAACATAAATTTTAAATACATATTCACCAAATATAAACTATTGACCAATCTACTACAAAAGGTCATAGCTTTTATTTTTGCTATGAATGCATTTGTTGTGTGCATAATTTTAGATTTTTAGAATTGCATGTCTTTAAAACAACAGGTTTTGCTTGACTTGATTCCGATCTTCTAGGTCATTTAATTGGTAATGCAAATCAAATCAAACCAAAGAAATATTTATAAAAAAATCATTCGAAATTTGAATTAGAATGGCATTACGCCAAATTGAATGTAGTTACAGACTATTAAGTATATTGGAAATAAATATTTTTTTTATTAAAAGAAGAAATATCCAATATAATATGGATTCAACCAATAAAAATAAATTCTACACTGTTTGGCCGTCAGAGACTGCAATCGACAATCGTTTTACCTTGTCAGGTGGTACAATCTTAGTTAAATGTTTCTTGTTTACATTCTTTATCCTTTAAATATTAAAAACCAGATTTTGTAAATAAATACGAAGTAATTCTTTTAACATGATTTTAGTTTTTTTTGTTTCGAATACCCATTCCCATAAGTTGCTAGTTGTGTTCATTAAAAAATATTAAATCTGAAAGACAGTTCTTTCTATAGGCCGTACTAGGCCAGAGTGGTTCACTTTGGCGTAGTCACGACTAACAGTAGGCTCCGAGCCCTTAAGTGAGGTTTTATATGAGCTAAAGACAACATTATTGTAACCGCGAGTTTCCATTACCGAAACACCTATTTGGAAACAATTGGCTATCTCAGATTTTGTAATTGAGTATAAGGACTTTGTAATTGTTTCGGTAGTAATTACCGAAGGTTTGAGACTCCTGGAAAAATATGCATTTCAGTCGAATGCACTTCAATTTATTTGAAATTAGGTCAAGTAATTTACACATGTAGTTTGAAAACATTTGGTCACAATGAAACCGACATACATAAGCCCACGAAATATTCGTCTTAATTACGTTATAAAATTGAAATTTTGATTTCCAGGTAAAGTAAACTCGTTATTCGGGTTAGCAGAGGCTATGATGCCGTTGGTTTATGGCCCGCTGTATTCAAGAGTGTACATGGCTACGTTGAACGTATTGCCAGGAGCAGTGTTTCTACTGGGCGCTGCTATGACGGTTCCAGCTGTTGCTATTTTTGGGTAAGTAAACCAATGAACTCTGGAATATTAAAGACTATCTATTTACTAGATATGTCTTGTTATTTTTAAAAAATTTCCGAAATTTAATTATTTTTTTGCCAAAGTATTTTACTCAACTTTCATCTGCCTTCTTTTACTATTAGTTAATTAATTGCAAAGTTTAACCAAATTTGCTATAACATACAACCATAAAATAATTTGATTGGTCCTGATATAAACATCTTGTATATCTGTTATAAGCAAATGTGTAAAAAATCTGTACGACTTGTAAAGCTGAGTTACCAAAACCGGCTTAAATTAAATTGTGCTAAGTAAAAGTAATAATATATCAGACCCCGAGCCGCGCAAAAACTTTGCAGTCAAAAACTTTTTGAGAATTACAAATGTATTTTCAAGGTGACCAACAGATAAAATCGCTTTGGACAGCATTTAAATAACATTGCATACATATAACAAATAGCGTTTAAAATTAAAAAAAAAACTATTTATAACTTATAATTTGTATTTTGAATATTTGAGCGTCCTTTTTAAGCTATTGATATGTTTGATAAAGATGTTTAACTTGATATGCAACTGCAATACATTCCGGTTTCATTTCGAGCTAACTCAATTCAGTGAGTGGTCAATACTTTCATTAACGACGTCAAATTAAATCCATTTAAATTATTTAAAAGTCTTAACACATGGTCAGTCTTCGATGAACAAGCGTAGCGTCAGAATGCTACAATTGATATTAAGTTAATAATAAATTTCCAGGTGGATGTATTTCGAACAAAGGGAAGATAATAAATCAGTGGATGAAGTTGACAATTTGAATAAGGAAGTATAGTGATGGAAGTTGTGTGCATTAATAGTGTTGTAACAAAAGCTGTCTTGACTTTTAAGAAATGTAATAAAATTTTGCAAACAGTGTTGTTATTCAATTTAATTTTACATCAGTTTAATTAATTAGTGATTAATCTTAATTAAAACTCAATTACGTGTTCCTATGCGTTGATACAACAAACAAAAGAGATCTTCCTCGCATAAAGTCAAACAATAGACCGCTAGTTTTGATTTGTCGTCGACAGCTGTCCGACACGCTTTACGTTTGAATCGAACAAATATCGTTTTACAATACTGTGGAAATGTGATTTTTGAAACTGCATTCGAAGAAATATTAATTAAAAATTTACTAAATTTAAAATCAAGAAATTTTTAGTGAAAAAACTTTTTAAAAAATGGAAAAAGAAAAATCGAATACCAACGAAGATGCAGTAGAGGAGACACTTGTTAAATCAACTGATGATATAAATATAAATGTAATGACAAGGAAACAGAAAATGCAATATCTAAAATCTAATATTACAGTGGAACCAATATTAACGTTATTTATGGTGCCCAGTGTACTTTCATTACTTGCAGCACAAAACCTTTATATTGATAAAGCATGTCGTGTGAACTTGGAGTACGGAGACGAAGTGTGCCTGGACTTACGCCTTCGGAAAACAGCAAATCACACGATCGAAGAGTTAGGAGTACAAAAGCTAATAGCATCTGTTCAAGCTTGGAGGAGTGTTATCTACACAATCGTACCAACTGTTCTCATGCTATTCGTTGGTGCTTGGAGTGATAAAACGGGAAGAAGGAAAATCTGTATGTTAATGCCCATCTTTGCAGAGTTCATGACTTGCATGATCAATTTAATCAACACTTATTTCTTTTATGAAATCTCTGTGGAATGGACTGTGATCTTAGATATTCTTTTTCCATCGCTCACGGGCGGTTGGTATACTATGTTCCTAGGTACTTTTAGTTATTTATGCGATATAACTTCCAAAGAGACAAGGACATTCCGCTTGGGGATTCTTAGTCTGTGTTTGACGATAGGTTTTCCCATCGGTATGGGATTCAGTGGTGTACTATTAAAGTATCTCGGATTTTATGGTGTTTTTAGTATTGCGGGTGGAATTCATTTGTTTAATTTTTGCTATCTTTACCTTAATATAGAAGATCACACTTGGCTTGAAGATAAGGACAAGGTGAGTTTATAAAAATATATACATTTATGATTAACTTGTATTTGATAGTGCAATACATATTATTTTTTTATAGAAAAAGCGCAGAGGATTTTTTGGATTCCTATCAGAGTTTTTTGATTTCAATAGCCTCAAAGAAACTATGGGAATTGTGTTTAAGAAGGGAAGAAATAATCGACGACTTCAACTGTGTCTTATTCTTACATGCGTTTGTTTACATTTTGGTCCACTGATGGGTAAGTTAGTTATAAAAGTCTAAATATTTTGATATTAGTACTAAGAGTAACTTTCAAGTCCCAGACGACAATGCAGAGAGAATGTAGTTCATTTTCATTATACTTTGGCCTCATACCTCATATTTTGAGTATTTTATAACTCTTTATTTATTATTATTGGTAACCTAATGTTTTTTTTAAGCATTATCTTAATTTTATATCCTGAAACTAAAAATTACTCAGCTTACAGTTAATCATTTCCTCTACCTGGCTAAGAATCTAGAATTTAAAATAGATATCGTAATTTATATTATGTTAATACTATTTAATATTATCTTATTGGCTACGATGCCTGTCTCAAGGTCAAATCATAAAGACCACAATTCTATAACCAAGCTTTCAAAATAATTAATTAAACCGTACAAAATACTCGAAGTGTACGCTTTTGCATATTTAATCTTATATCTTTAAATGAAAAATTATATATATATATATATATATATATATATAATTGGAATCTCGGAATCGGCTCCAACGATTTTCATAAAATTTAGTATTTATCGATAATCGACTTAATAAACTTAACTTTTTCTATCGGTAGGATCGAAAGATATTATTCATATTTCATCATTTTATTAGTAATTCGTACTTAAATATGATTTCCAAAAAACACAATTAAAAAAAAAATACTGAAAATACGGTCATCCAGGTATTAGTTTTTTAAATAGAATTCATAGGACACTTTGTTATTACATTATAAAGAATGTAAATTCTTAAGTTTATATTATACTTTGTGTAGGAAGAATATGTTGATATAACATTTCTTAGAACAATTGAATAGAACATAGACAATAGAAATATTTCTTCTATGGCATTTTATCAACAAAATCTGGATGACCGGTATTTTTTTTTTTAAATTGTGTTTTTTGGAAATTATATTTAAGTACGAATTACTAAAAAAATGATGAAATATGAATAATATTTTTCGATCTTACCGATAGAAAAAGTTAAGTTTATGTTTAAATTGATTATCGATAAAACACGAATAAAATGACATTTTCCAAAAAATGATTCCTAACTAGATCGATTTATCGCCCCCGAAACCCCCCACATACTAAATTTTATGAAAATCGTTGGAGCCGGTTCCGAGATTCCAATTATATACAGGGTGTAAAATTTTTAAGTTTTTAAAAAATGCCATTAATTTTTTTTAATATCCAGAGGGGAATTTTTATTTTATTTTTCTGGTGACCCTTGTGACCACCTCTATCATCCCCCTTCCTATATACGTAACCTTTTGGGACAGCCTGTATATACAAGAATTGCTCATTTAAAGATATAAGATTTGCGGAAACACGTCACGGATTCAACATGGTAGAAATAGTTTTCTTAATTCACAAATATCTATTAATATTTAAAATGCGAATATTTAAATGGTTTGCTTGATGATATCTCCAGAACGGATGCATATTGCTAAATTGTAGAACATAGTCTGGAAGAACAGATAGGCATAATTAATTCTTTTTTTAATTCCTTAAAGACAAAGTTGCTGGCGATAGCTAGTTAAAAATAATTTGAAAATTTAATTTAAAATTCTAAAAGTCAAAACATTTAGTAATATTGAAAAATCAATATCCGTATCCGTAATAAGAACTCATTTGTATTATGGATATGGATATGTATGTAATGGATATAAAATGCAAATCTTTCACATCATATTAGCATAAATAATAAAGTATATTAGTATGTACTTTATTTTGTATTCATTATTATTTGAAAATTTAATAGAAGTAGAAAAAGAGTAGTCTACTTATCCAATTATAATCCATTTGTTTTAGGTGAATTAAGTGTGATGTACATATTTGTTCGCTATCGCTTCAACTGGGACGAAGTGAAGTACAGTATATATTCAACTTATAGTCTCATCATGCATTTGATTGGTAAGTTATCAGAAACCACAAAAGTAAAAGAAGAAAAACATACACAGCAATAAGTTTTGTTACGAGTGTTTTGTCAGTGTGAAACCAAAGAAAGTATGGATGGATTGTGTGAGAAAGGATATGCGTAGGAAAGGGGTAGATCCAGCCATGATTTCGGATAGAAATGTATGGATAAGTACATACTGTACCGACCCTCCGTTGGGTTAAGGTTGATGATGATGACGAGTGTTTTGTCAGTGAAATTTAAAGGTTAGAAAGAAATAACAGAACATAATTCTTTTAAACTAAAAACTATTTGGACAGTATTAATTTAAAACTTTTAGTACGTTTCATAAAAAAAATCTAATTACGTTTACATATCTCTTATTTCAGGTACAGTCTTCTCGATAAGTGTTTTCAGTAAGAAAATGAAAGCCCACGATTCTGTATTGGGAATTATTTCAGCGTCAAGCAAAATCGCTGGTGCTCTTGTCTTAACATTCGCTGTCAAAGACTATCAAGCTTACTTGTGTAAGTGATTTTGAATGATTTAAATATGTTTGCTATCTAATAATTTACAAGACCTCTTCCAAGAAAAATGTTACTCGTGAAAATCTACATACTGTACCCCTATTTAAATATTTCTAGAATTAAAATACTTTCAGGTTACTTATGAAAATTTGAGTGCCAGAGATTTAAAGCTTCCCTTATACAAATAAGTCGAAATCTTTAACACCTTACTTGTTTGCCTCTGACTTCTATCTTCCTGTCCTTTATCGTTAATGTGCAAGTGTCCTTAAAATTTATTGTTTTCAGGTCCATTAGTAGAAGTTCTGAATGGTACAGCGGCTATAGCTTTAAGATCACTGTCATCAAAACTCGTCTCTTATCAAGAATTAGGTAATGTATTTTCGTCATTATTTTTAACATTAATTACTTTGAGAGTTTAGTTTTTGGAAAGTCAATAAATAGAGTTTTTTGCAAATGAATTTATTCCCTCTATAACCCAGCTCTTCAAAGGACCGAAGCAATCCGTTGATTATGCTGATGATGTTCTCGATGGAATTCTATTATTATTTTTATGGGATAACAATTAATCCCGTATTTTATTTCTTATCAATTCAATTCTTTATATGCACGACGTGAAAAATTATTAGAGTAATCTGAATCATTATCTTCATCATCGTCGTCGTCGTCATTAGCCTTTGTCAGCCCACTGCTGGTGATAGGCCTTCCCCAATAACTTCCATAATGTGCGGTCCTTCGCATGTAGTCGCTTTATTTAATTCAAATATTAAATATAAAGCCGCAAGATTTGAGGTCTGAATTCTTATACAATTCCTATACATGTTTACAGTTCATTTAGTTGTTGGCCTTCAAATATTTGGCTATATTTATACGTCCTTTTTTATTCAGTTATTTTTTGTACACTAAAATAGCTTACTTAATTACGGCCAGTTGTAAAGTTTGACTCAATGACTATATAATTATAGAATTAAACTTGTTTTATTTCAGGTAAATTAAATTCGTTGTTCGGGATGGTTGAAACTATAATGCCCTTAATCTATGCACCGATATACACCAAGGTATATGTAGCATCACTTCACATCTTACCAGGGACTGTGTTCCTACTAAGTATTGCGTCTACGATACCCGTATTAGTGATATTTAGGTGAGTTTTTTGCCATTTGGTTAATTTTAAATCTAATTTAGTTAACTTTAACAATAGTAGACGCTAGCAACAACAATATCTACGCAAATAGGCCGGCTCGACCGGTGACGACCACACAAAAGCCTGGTATGAAGCGAAAGCCATTCCGCTTTTCGCCTGATGAGTTTGAGTCCAGAAGCCCTAATTTTAGAGGGAGAAAGTGGATGTGACGAAGGAATGGATTCAAAGAAAGGAAGTATTCATTGATTGTGCCATCCTGTTCTCCGTCGATTTAAGTAGGCAGCGTATCTGCAATCCCGGATGTCGATGGACAGCGGTCGCTTCTCTATTTCGGCGAAATTTGATCGAATCTTACTCGTTTGTCACCTTATGAAATAAAAAAGTCTGTTTTGCATGAAGCAAGCGACTTTTGACACTACAAATCGTCAGATGGTAATTTACTGATGTTTCTTAATTTAGCTTAGACTAAAATACCATTTATTATAATCTTAAGGACGACATGATCTAGTCATAGATAAATATGCAATAAAAAATGGCTTGTTTTTTCTGAGTTTTTTTCAATTAATGATTAAAATAGTGTTGTACAAAACTAGATTTAAATCGCCAGTGTCCATGCACGAAATTCTAGCGGTCTCAAAATGTCAGAAGAGTTATTCTTTTGACCTTACACCAACCGGTCCCCAATGGTAATATTTTGAAAAGCATTACCATTAAGAATTTTGGATGAAGAGATTAAATAAATTAATTTCTTTATCTTTAAGTTTTATTATTAAAGCTATTCTTTTTTAGTTGGTTTTACCATGAACATCGAAAGAGTGTAAAAGAAAAAGAAATGCAGATTTTAGCAAAACCAGAAGAATGTGATGATAAGAATGAAAATGATGCAATGCTTGTAAAGAATTCTCAAGTTGAATGTAAGTATAACTTGAGTTGTCACTTAGTGTGAGATACAGAAAGTAAAGAGGTACAACAGAGAGTAAGTAAAGGATAGAAAAAGAATTCATAATTAAACCTTTATTACTTTATTTTTTACTTTTAGGTTTGCTCCATGAAGTCAAAGCTATAGAACAATCCAATGGTTCTAAAACTACTCACGAAAGTAATAAAGTTTAAAGAAAATTTTGTAATTTCAATATTTCTTTTTTTTAATAAGCAAATGTAATGTAAATCAATGAAATACCATGTGAAAATATTATTGTACATACCATAATATATAGATATACATATTTTGATTGTCAAATAGACTTAAACGTATACGTAACATATAATTTTCATAACTTAAATCCCACTAAATGTTATAAAATACCATAACAGCTTCCTCGTAGAAAATTAACTCAATAAATAAATAATTAAAAATAAAGAAACTCTTTTTATTTTCGATTAAACTTCATATTAATTTATTGATGATTATATTTTATTATAAATGTAAAATAATATTCAATGCGCTTGTATGTCTCTTGAACAAAAGACACAAGTAAATAGCTAAAAACTTGTTATGCAAAATTGCCTAACAAAATCCGGAAGGTAAAATTATAAAAGGCAAAATCCATATTTCATTAACAAAATCCTATAAATTAGAAAACGAGTGACATCACGCTGTTACTAAATACCTGCCGCTTACCCGTTAATTTAATTCCTGAGCCACATCAGTAGCGCCCCTTTTAATTACCAACGTTTAATGAATAAGCGAAAATTACCTTTTGTTTGATTCAAAAACCTTTTATGCGACGTTGTCGGTTATCTTAATGAGCTTTTATAATTTTATACATAAACTAGCTATGCCCGCGACTTCGTCCGCGTGAAAGCTTATTTGAGCTGCGCGCGGTACAAGATTGAACTTAGACATTACAACATTGTTTTCCTAATTTTAAGTTACGCCTTATTACATAAGCTACCTGCCAATAAAAGTCGCGTCATAATCGGTTCAGCTATTTCATAGATGAGCGGGAACACACAAACAGATAGACAAAAATTGTTATTTTGATGTATGTACAGGTTATTTTAATATTAAAAAACATACACTCCAATTGCTTATATGTATAGATTTAATAATTGATTGACACTGGTTGTACAAAAGGAACAATCTTATGACACAAATTAAAAATATTCTCACTATATTTATCGTTGGTTTCTGAGACCCAAATCCCTAAATAAAATATATCATTATCTCGGTTTTGTCAAAGATAATCAGAGATATGTTTAATACAGGTAGACTCAGAAGCCAACGTTTTAGTAAATCTGTTGTTTTCTTTACTATGAAGTTTTCATAAATGGCCGATGGACGAATGGTGATTTCGTAAATGTTCATTCTAGAGCTTATCCTGGTGTTTTAGCTAGTATTTTAACTAGTCTTTTGCTTTTATATCTATCTTTTTTCTTTTAAAATAATTTCACTACGTTTCTTCAAAGTCCGTACACTCTAAAGTATTTCCTTCTTTCATAGTTCTGTTAAAAGCTGCAAGCGAAAATAGTACTTATTCACATGTGATAAAGCGCATAAATTTAATTTACATACGATGGACTTTAGTACGCGACTGAGAATATAAATAAGACTTAAAATTATCCGCAAGTTATTTCACTGGCTCTTTAACTCGTTGTATAAGATAAAATAAAATTTGCTTAATACAAACGGTTAACGTAGTAACATGTTTTTACACTGTTTACTTTAAAGTAAAAAAAAATCTCAAGACTATTAAAAAAATTGTCAATAAACAACATTCAAGATAGATAATAACAAAATTCTTTTTCCTGTATCGCTACTGGAAACAACAAGGAACTGGTTTAAACCGTTGTATGGATGGTTTGTATTCATTCTGTCATTTTAAGATGACAGATAAGAAATAAATAAAGTACTTATTATTAGTAATAGTTTTTTCTACAATATAAAAATAATATTGAGTTTTTAAATATGCGCCTGTGAAAAAAATTGCAGCAAATCCTTAAAAAATATTGTCACCCTATTATGCTGCCGCTCATTTGGTCAAAGCTTAGTAACTAACCAAAGTATTACTGTGCGGTTTTTATTCTAAAGCTAAGATTTTCTTGCAGACACCGTGTTTAAATTTAATCCACATCATGCAAGGGATGAACCGATGACTTGGTCAAGGTTGCGGGAGTGCATTGGATGCGGGCGGCACAGGACCGGGCATTGTGGCAATCGATGGGGAAGGCCTACATCCAGCAGTGGATAAATCTAGGCTGATTATGATGATGATGATGATGATGTAAGGGACTACATTAAATATAAATTCCGGACATTCAATACTTGAAATAATAGTTAGTCAAACTTTTTTTCAATGGCGTTTTGGATTATGACATTTTAAATTATTGTTACAAATAGCTCAGAGATGCGCAACTTTTTGAGGTACTTCACTAATTCACTAATAAATAAATAGTACAAATAAATAGAATTTTCTAATAAAATCTAAGGCACAGTATAACAACAAATAGTATGAGAAAATCGCACAAATTCACGTATTGAGTAAAACCAACCTTATTTCAACGGAATAAAGTACACTGGGCAAAGGTTACACTAGTCAAGAATGTTACGGGGCTACTGGGACCATAAATAAGAGTTAAAATTATCCACAAGTTATTTTACTGGCACTTGAAGTCTTAACTCTCTATTCCGTTTACCATAAACTTTAACGAAAATCTATTTACGCGTAATTTTATCTTATTTTGATGTTTCTTTACTTTTATGTTAGACACTCGATTGGAATCTTTTGTTTCAAGAAAAAAAGGGTTATTACCAGATAGTTTTTAATATATATTTATCTTTTTCCTATAACATATTAATCCCATTATAAATTCAAAACATAAATGATATTTTCTTATCAATATTACTGGCAATCTTCGTCATTTGCGACCTCATTTAATTGCGATTAATGACTAAGCAAAAATTGTCTTTTGTTCGATTCTAAAAACCCTTTAACGCGACGCCCGCGCGTGTCTTAATGAGGTTTTCGTATTTTAAACACAGTTTTGAAAATAATTAATGACCCCGAGTGAAAGGAGCAATGTTTAATATCAAACGACCTCCAGTATTCATGAAAGATATTTTAATTACGAAAATCATACTTGTAATTTAATATAGACATTAAATTTTGTGGTTTTACTCTGTCTATACTCGGCGGCAAACACAGTTCGATGTTCTTTGCTCGTACCTACTAAAATCATAAGTCTAATGTAAATTAATTGGAATACTTCTTGCTTATAATTTCATTCTCAAAGTCCTTTAAAAAAATATATAGTAGAGAAGCCAACCAAAGAGCGTAAACATCGTTCCAAAAGATTACACTTGAAATTCATTTTTCATCGGAACTCAAATAAAAACAAATTAAACGTCAAAATAGTGTTATTAAAAAGAATTTTCTTTTTCTTGTTATGTTGGTGGCCGCTTTCTCGTTTGGAACTTTATGATATACTAGCGGGCCCTACGACTCCGTCAGTGCGGAATTATAAAAAAAAAATGGTATGTGCTCTTCTAGGCTATGTTCTACATCTTTGACAAATTCAACCATGAACCGTGCAGTTGCATTGCATGCCATTCTGGAGATACTTTCTAACAAACATTCATCCATCTATCCAAAAGTTTATTATATAAGTAAAATAAAAAATATATAAATTCAATGAAGTATCAGAAAACGAGCTCGGAACAACAATCTCATGTCACAAGTTTCAGAAGCTGAAATACAAATGAGGAGGAGTGGAAGTGAAAAGCAATGTTTTGCTCTATGTGATTTACCTCCGCCCTTAATTACGGTCTGCGTTGCGTAAAATTATAAATTCAGCTCGTTTTGCATACGTAATGAATACAGGCAACTTCCAAAACGTTGAACTTTGCTCTGACATACGAAACAGTAATTAGCAAGTACGAATTATGCGAAGGAATGATTTAAGACTTTTTGCTGCAATTGCTTTTACCTTTTTGATTTCTATTTACTCAAGAGTAATTACTAATAATTTACATGAGTTTAGGCAAAAAAAAAATCTTTTAGTATTTATGAAATTACGCCTACGTTATTAATATTTTTTCCTAATTTATCTATAAAAATTTTGCAGCAAAAATGAGAGTAAATCTGAAAAAACTGAGAAATCAATATTGACAATACATTTTCGAAATGAAATCTGCGTAGAAATCATGCTTTTTGCTTAATTGCCATCCAGTCGAATTGTCCAGTTTCCTTGTTTTTCTGAGGTGCGTTCATATTTTATATTTTTTAAACTCTAGACTAATTGGATTGCTTTAAGTGGATTTGCCCTCTTCTGAAAAACGTTGAACGTTTCCAATATTTCTTCTCTAGCATTTGAGATCGAGTAAACGAATGTTTATTGCTAGGATTTTTTAACAACTCGGAAATAGGTTAAGCTTTACTTTCTTGATATTGGAGAGATTTAAAAATTGTAGATTAAATAATATTTTATCATTAAAATAATTTACCAGGTGTATTTACATTATTATTTATGCCAAGAAATCTGAGGTTAAATCAAGTACCTGCCGAATTCAATAACTAAACCGTAAGATCGATCCGATGATTAATTCGATTGCTTTTGTTATTGTGCTCTTTAAATTGGTTTATTTTGGAGTAAACAGGTATAGACTAGATAGACAGTCTTCGACAAGCAAAACGAGCTTGAGACCAGACTTCGTTGTGACACAACTGTTTTACATAGTTTTAAGTAATAAATGATACTTAATAAGTGAACTTATTAGTTATTTTTGTTAACACTTCAGTTTAAAGAACTTTAAAATGAAGTGTAATTTCATTTAATTTTCCTTTACACAAATAGGTATATTGAATTCATAAGGTACGGGTCCCCAAGCCGTGGGTAGATCGCATTTTATCGCCGCAAAGGACTCGCGCCAGGTAAAATAACTTTAAGTTACTTAATGTAAAATTGTGACTTACAATTTAAGCTTTACAGAAATTCTATTAAGATATTGTAAAATCAAAAAAAGCTTTCTGGAATAATATTTCATTCGATCTTTGATATAATGAATACTTTGTAATTTATGTCATTGCTAGCTGTCGCCTGTGACTCTGTTCGCGCGGATTAAAAAAAAATAATTAGTAGCCTATGTGTTCTTCCAGACTATGTTCTGTTGATCCGTTCACCCGTTCTGGATATACCCTCAAAGAAACATCCATCCATTTATCTAAATATTCGCATTTATAATATTAGTAAGATTTAATTTAAATTGTGTATGTTAATGGATGTCAGTGATAATTTATAATATTAAAACGAAACTCTAGTTCAATTATTTATCCTATTAGTAGTAAAATAAATAAAAAAAACAAAACGCTCAGACTTTACAACTATGACACTTGAATATAGAGTATAAAACAAAGACACATTAATTTAAAAAAAAAAAAACGTTTATTTTGCAGGCCACAATAGATCTGACATACATTCCTTTTACAATACTATGCTCTAGACTGATTTTACTCTTGGAAGATCCCATAGGTGTGTTAATTATGACGTCACCGATCGCTGTTATGGCATACTCAAGAAAATAAGGGCATGTATAATAATATTATTATTATATTTCCTTATTACTTTAACTTTGCGAGCTTCATCGTTATCGTGGTAATTTCATTACGATTAATGAGTAAGCGAAACTTGCCTATTATCTCGCAGTAAAATCCTTTCGTTAAGAGCCAGCGTGTATCTTTGACGAGCTTTTAATATTCAAGCCGTTAAGAGAATTTTAATTAATGATTGTTGAACGATGAGGGAATTTATTATATCATGTATCGTCTACTTTTAAATACGTTCTATGACTAGCAGTCGCCCGCGACTGCGTCCAGATTACATTCTACATCTAGGCGAAATATCAGCGAAAACTACGCAGAAATTTGAAGATACTTTCAAACATCCATCCATACATCCGAACATTCGCATTTATATGATATAGCAAGATCACGTTTTTTAATGATTTAAATGGAAACAAATCCATAATAGTATTGTCTGAAGTATTTAGAATGCTATTACATTGTTTTTTTTATAAGTGAAGAGGGCAAACGAGCGGCGGGAACACCGAGGTGATCGACACCCATGGATATCTGCAACACCAGAGGAACTGCAGATGCGTTGCCGGCATTTAAAGAAATGGTATGCTCGCTTCTTGAAGGTCCCCATGTCGTATTGTTGACCGTTCCACAACGCGAATGAGTGAGGCAAGAAGTTTCGCGAGTTATTTCAGCTTTGTTTAATTTTATATTATTAAATTCGATCTACAGAAACGTTTTTTATTTATATTTTCCTAAAGGGTCTAATGGCCACCATACACAGTCTAAACCGTAATAAGTGCAGGTTGTCTGCATTGTAAAGCGTTGTGTTATCTAAAGCAGTTAAGGAATGATCACTCTAGAAACCTACATTCATAACTCTGTGGTCGGGGTATATTAAGATTACTTTCGTTTATTTTTTTAAATTACTTTTATTTAATTTAAATAACAAAAAAACATCTCATCTCACCAACTCAGTAATTATAAAATTACGCAAATCTATTCTATCGTTACAACTAAATGATACGTAAAATTACGTAATTTTATTTTATACCTCGAAAAAATAAGTTGTCTATATTTAATTTAATTTTACGTGCTCGTATTAGTCTATTATTTCATTCCATTCGCGAGTACATTTGTAACATTTGTCGTCAACTAATTGCTTAGTTTGTTTTCCTGTTCAGTATATTTAACCTAGGCTCTACTTGCGATGAAAGTTTTAGTTGAAACTGTTTTGTTTATAAACTCCCTTTATTTTTAAAAATTAATGTATCATAAACCTTTTTCGTTGCAGGATTTTCTTGCATGGTATGCATAGTAAAGTGTTCGTACAAAATCTTACATATAAAAGTCTTGTTTCACAATTTTCGTTCCCATACTCCTCCGAAACGGCTTGACCGATTCTCATGAAATTTTGTGAGCATATTGAGAGGTCTGAGAATCGGCCAACATCTACTTTTAATCCCGCGCGGACGGAGTCGCGGGCGACAGCGAGTTTAATTATAAAACGTCACATATTCAAGGCATTGATTTGGATGAAAAAACTTAATGAGCCAACTCCACGTAGAACGGGATAAGGTGTGTGTTGTTACAACACATTTTTTTTAATTAAAAAGTTAACTTAAATATGTACAAAATAAAAGCAAACTTGAATTAATAAATTTATTTTATTTATTTACATGTACAGTTTAACTTTTTTCAACGTCTGATAAATTTTGTGATGCCTTTCGTTTGTCCTTTTGATGTTCGAAATAAAGCCAACTGAAACATATAGAGATATTATTGTGGGTTTCCACTGTCGTGATAATTATTGACACATATTACTGTTTGTTATTTCCCAAAGATTTTGACAATATAAATATTATTAAAACTTAATTTCTATCATGAATTCCTAGTAGCTTAGAGATCAGTTTTGAGAAGATAAATTATGTTTACTATTGAGCTAAACATTTAATTTGGATTTTAGGAAATTTACTACAAATTTAAAAATCAAAACATACACATTTTAATTCTGACTATTCATAGTACTTTTTAATATTTTAAACAAAAGAAAATCGTATATGTATTCGTTCGTCAATATATGTTAATAAAAATAGTTCTGAAAACATCTTACCCAAATATACCTATCGCTGGTAAAGTTAATAAAGCTCCCAAAAGGAAGACCGCTCCGGGCAAAATGTTTAGAGTCGCCATGTACGTTCTAGAGTATAAAGGTCCGTACACAATGGGAGTCATTGCTTCAGCCAGACCAAACAAAGAGTTAACTTTACCTGGAAGAAATTATTAGTAGACAAACCACCGATATTAGTCTCTCTTGCCTCAGGAAGATAGATAGTAAAAATTTTAAAGATTTAATTAAATATAAAAGACCGGTGCAATTTTTTAAAATTAGTAATTAATAGCTTATACATAGTGGATTTATTAACTATACTAGCTGTCACCCGCGACTCCGTCAGTGCGGAATTAAAAGAAAAACTTAATATTTAGTCTATGTGTTCTTCCAGACTATGTTCTATACTTGTGCCAAATTTCGTCAAGATCCCTTGAGCAGTTCCGGAGATACCTTCGAACAAACATCCATCCATTCATCCAAATATTCACATTTATAATATTAGTAAGACTAGTAAGATAACAGTTCATATTCCATGTTCGTTTTTGAATTCTAGAAAATTTTCGACAAAAATGCTTACCAAATTCCTGTCCACTGACGAGTTTAGAAGCAATGGATCTCATTGCTATAAAGGATGTCCCATTAAGTATTTCTAGAAGTGGGGCTAAATTAAAAAGAAACAAAAAATATTAATAAACAGAATTGTATCATAATATACGAAATATAATTTGTTATTGTCTGAATTCCTATAGTTGAATTAGGCTAAATACGAAAGAATGCCATACGATTTCATAAATGTTTTTGTTTTAATCTCGAACTTCTATTAAATGTACTAGTATGAATGATTAAGTATATGACTGTTAGTTACAATTATTACAAAAATCTTGACATAACGTGACAACTATTAAAGTTAACACGATAATTTGAAGTCGTCAGCAAAGTCGATATAATTATTTAATGTTATGGACAATAAAAAACTAACAATAATACACACTTATCGTTTAATAATTCGTTAACCATGACATCATTTCTACCATTTTATTTATCAATATTATCAAATATATGGATTTATGGTGATTGATTTAGATTATCGTTTTTAAATTATGTTATTAGTAATAATAAAATAGTAGGCTATGCACTATTCCAGGCAAATTTTATTTAGATCCGTTAAGCCATTTCGAAAGTACTACCTAACATTATCATCAGCTTACTATAAGTCCACGCTGAAGGGCTCAGAGCCTACCCTAAATTAGAGGTGACTAGACCATAGTCAACCACGTTGGCCCAGGGCGGGTTGGTTGATTTCACACATATCTTTGAATTTCATCGCAGATATGTGCAGGTTGCATCACGATGTTTTCCTTCACCGTAAGAACGTCGGATAATTGTACATATGTAAATCGAAAATTCGGATTCGAACCCAGGACCTGATTAATAAGTCAAGTGCTGAAACCCCTAAACCACCGACGCTCTGCACCACCTAACAATGCACCTAAAATAATTTGATTATAGAGTTCTAATAATAATAGTTCTTTGCTCTACTTCTTTCGTATCTAATACACACTACTTTCCTTTATTTCATGTGGGTTTGTTTTTCTTATCAATAGATTAGAAGCAATATGTTTAAATATATATACTATTTCACGTTCAAAGCACGATCTTATGAAAATCTAATATGTAACATTTACCCAGATACTTATAAATGTAGGCTTAAAATTATTAAAAAAATGTATTAATTTCCTCTTATTATTTTAAATGATGCATTACTTCTCTTTTTTTATTATCAAAGTAATAAACTTTCTTTTGTTTCTTTTAAAAAACTATGTTAAATTAGTACTTACCTAAATATATTTCTAAATCATTTCTTGCAAATGCATAAGCAAATGATGCAACAATTTTACTCGTACACGAAATTATTCCCAATAGCGTGTCGTCCAATTTCAAATAGTTACTAAACAAACTAATCGAAAACAATGTTCCTGTAAAAGATGTTTTATTCAAAAACTAGCCGTAGTCTGCGACTCCGCCCGCGCGGTAATAAATAAATAAAATTATTAGTAGCCTATGTGTTCTTCCAGACTATGTTCTACATGTGTGTAAAATTTCATCAAAATCCATTGACCCGTTCCGGAGATACCTTCAAACAAACATTCATCTGTCCATCCATTTATACATACATTCGCATTTACGGCATTAGTAAGATATTCCGTCGAATCACGATTACTATAAAAATACTAGAAAGTATTTGGTTAATTGCACTTACCAAATAGATTCGTAACAATACAATACGTAGTCCACATGCTGTACTGTATTTCATCCCAGTTAAATCTATATCTTGTAAACAGATATAAAATACTAAATTCACCTGCAATTAAAAAAAAACAAATCTTTTTAAAGAACCATAGCACTCATATAAATCTGTATAAAGTAAATGCAGCGATGCAGGAATGGTCTGTGCCTTGCAATACCAGAAGGAAGAAAAAAGTCAAGTCGAACTAATTCCGCATATTATTTGATGAGTGTGCATGGCAGACGCTAAATTTTAATCATCTTCGTCATAATAGAGTGACCTAAAATTACCTTGTGATGGTCCAAAAACCACGCACACGACGATTAAAAGAAGACACACTCTTAATCTTCTATTACCACATCCTTTGCGGAATGCGACTTTAAAAGTGTCTACTACTAATTTAGTGTCGAAAAATTCCAATATGTAGCCAATACATCCTATATTTTTCTGCAATAGTTAAAAATATATAAATTAGTGTATTAATCTAGTGTTTTACTCGCTGTCCCTTGTCATGTTTCAACTGAAATCTAATAGAGTCGTGTTAAAGATTACTCATGAATATGAAGCCGGAACAACACTCTCGCTTTTTCGTAGTCTTTTTTTCATGATCAATAATTTTAGGTTCTTCCAATATCGTTTTAAAGATTATATAATATATAATGATAATATATTCAACCGATAAACATCTGGTGAAGAGAGATTCTTTGTATAAATAAGTGCACCAAAGGCACTTTCAAAACCAAACATTGAATATTATTAGTAACAAAGTGTACTATTGACTTTTAATTAATACTTTGATCTCAACAAAACGGAATACTCAGAAGAGTTCCTTCGTAGAAATGGAAATACCTAAGATTAGTTTGCTTGCGTAACTGTAATAAAAAATAAATACAACCAACACTGTTATCGCCCGTAGAATTGAAAGCTAAACTATTTGTAAAGCAAATAATTGTGCTAAAAATATACGACTTATATTAGCCTAGTACTTAATATGTTACTTGATTACAATAAAATTCAGTGAATTTACTTACCGATTCACATGTTTTTCTTTTAGTATCTTCTAAGTAAAAGTATCCATAAATCAAACTGAATAAATACAATAATGCTGATAGTGAAAATATACCATAGTATCCAATCCAAGTCAGCAAAAGTCCGCTTAAAGAACTTCCGATAGGATATCCTAAAGACATACACAAATTGACAATCCCAACTCTATATGTTCTATCTTCTGTTGTAGTAATATCACCGATGTAACTAAAAACACCTATAAAATTAGTAAACCATCCACCAGTTATCGCAGGAAAAATAGATTCCGTTAAAGCAGTCACTTCCACAGGCAATTCATAGAAAAAATAAGTATTAATCATGAATCCAATGCATGTTATTAATTCTCCCACAATTGGTAACAGAATACAAATTTTCCGTCTCCCTGTCTTGTCGCTCCAAGCTCCAACAAATAATATTATCAGTACAGGTATCGCTGTTTGCACCACATTCTTCCATGCTTGAATACCAGCAATAAAAGTTTGTACTTGTTCTTCGTATTCTGTATAATTCTCCGTTTGTCTTAATTTAAGTGCATCACAAACCTCGGTACTGAAATTGAGATTCACACGACATGCCTTTTCTAGATTTAAATTTTGCGTAGCTAGAGATGCTAATACACTTGGCATTATGTAACCTGCCATGATAGGTTCCACTGTCATATTTTCTTTTATCAATTTTAATCTTTCTGATATAGAAAGATTTTTACTTTTTACATCTTTCACATCTGTTTTATCTATATTTGCTTTCAAAGGTGTAGTTTCTTCTTCATCTTTAGCTTCATCGACACTTCTTTGTTTAGTTTCTAGCAATATCCCTTTATTTTCTTTATCAGAATCCATATTTGTAATTATATTTCCTATTGCTTATGCTTCTATGCGAAGTACCATCTAAATGCTATTCACATTTCGAATTTGTTGTTCAACTAATGATTTTAGCGACAATTGTCTAAAGCTGAGCAATTAATGTATTATGAGTATTTGTATTATGATTATTTATATCATTATTGTTAGTAAATATTTGTTAAGTAGTATTGCGTGTTAGCGCTGATAAAAGGCCGTCTGCAAAAATATCTAGATGGCTTTGTATGAAGCCGTTTGTGTGTAACAAAGACTTAAGGTTAGAGAATAGTTAAAGAACAGTGGCATTATGTTCTGTCATTATTTTCTTTCCAGTCGATGGTGGAGGCTTGTAAAATATTCTTCTATGGAAGAGAATAACTCGTATTAAGATAGTGTTCTTTTAAATCATGCAATGATAATTATTTATAATGAGAAATTTTGTAAATTGGGAAGTAGATGTGTAGTTATTCCGTTCCATGGAAGAATATTCCCTGGAATTGGCTCCTGAGTCTCCGCCGTCAATTGGAAAAAAAAATCAATTTCGACTTGTTTCGCATTTAAAATTTATCTGAATATAGGGAATTGTGTATTCCAAGTACAATCAGATTGATTTATTGATTGATTAAGTCGATACGCTCAATAATATAAATGAACAGCCACTTGGTGTCTTAACACCTCCTTTTAATTTCTCTAAAGAAATCTTTGGCAATACTGTTATTTCATCTATTACGTAGTTGATTTCTGTAGTAAATATATTTAATGTATGATATAAATATTGTTTTATTAGGAGAGGATAAAATGTGTGTAGTATTCTTTGACATTTTTATTTATGTATAGAAATATCAGTCTTTATGCCCAACAGTTTTTTTTAGCATTTCCTTCATTATTTTGATTATATTTTACTCTGTAGCATGAATACACCTTTAGATTCCAAATAGTACGAAACCATTTTTCAAAAAATGAAACAAATATTAATTCTTAATTATTGTTTTAATTTCTACATTTAACAATAGATTAAATTCTATTATTATCTAGTTATTTAACTAAGTGGTTATTTATTTCTATCTTATTATCTATCTGCATTTATCAAATGAAAATACTCTGTCTGTAGTAGGAAGGTGGACATAATAATTAACATTTCACAAAATCATTCATGTGTTCCCAAATTAGGAAATATGGGACTTAATTTCATTAGGTTAAGGTCGTATTTCACACTGAGATATCACAATTGATTGTTAACTTTATCTTTTCTTGATTTCCTTAACCCTCTTCTGTGCTCGTAGAAAAGCCAACTGCAACAAATGGTACATAAGTTACTTATTATACTGTTAGATTTTAGTCACATTATTTCAAACATGTAATATCGTTTATTATTAGGAAGAACGATCATTCACTCATTGGATCAGTCAAATAACACTGCTCTTGGAAAAGAAAGTTAATGACATTAGTTATTTCACGTATCCGAGTCCACGTCTTGTTGCTAAGAGGGTTAGTCAATACTACTAGATGTATATTAACCCCAATATGACTTTTCACTAAAAGTCACTACTTATTAAGGCTATGTTAATTCGGACAAGAAAGATTCGAGCAAATCTGGACAAATCAGATAAGTGCTCGGGTTTTTAATCCTTATAATTTTGAGATCACACTTTTTAATTTTCTACAAATAAAAAGTGTTTTAATATTATAGATATAAAAACTTACATAAACACTAATACAGCTGGAAGTGTTAGTGCAGTACCCAGCAGGAAGACTGCGCCTGGTAATACGTCCATTGTCGCCGCGTACGTCTTTGTGTATAAGGGAATGTAGAAAAGTGGCATCAGAGTTTCACTTAGAGATATCAAAGAGTTGATTTTGCCTGGAAGTGACCATACAAAATGTTCATGTATTCATTTCGTGTACACTAGCGATCGCCCGCGACTTCGTCAGCGGTGAATAAAAACAACAGCTTAGTTTCGCCCGTACAATCGGTCCAGCGTTTCGGAGATTACTCGGAACAAACGCGGATTTGCGGACAGAGACCGATTTTTTGTGTGGGTTTCGTTACAAGTATAATCATGTTTTACGAAATATTATTTAAGTATTGCAATAATTAAATTTGTAATATTCTTCTATTTTATTTTGTAAAAACATTAAAAATAACTTACCGAATTCATCGTCAGCAACCATCTTAGATAGTAAAGATCTTAATGCTAAAAATGATGTCCCATTCAATATTTCAACCAATGGACCTGAAAGTAATCACATGAGTTAATTCATTATTCGCCTATTCACTTAGTGGACTAACCATGGGTTTCTGAGACCAAAATATCCGTTTAAAATGTACTGTTATAGCTATTTCGTCAAAGATAATGACAGTGATGATATATTTTATACAGAGATTTAAGTCTCAGAAACCAACAACAATTTGATAATGACTATTCCCACAAATACATACCGAGTGCAAATATCATTTGATTAGGCGCAAAACAGTATACAAACGAAGCCAAGATTTTGCTGGTTGTAGAAATAATTCCTAGAAGTGAATCGTGCCATCCTAAAAGCTTACTGAAGACGGTTAAGGAGAAAATAGTACCTGAAAAAGTATTACAGTAATTGTATTTCAACTAAATGTGGCCTGAGAATCCGTCCCCGCGGACTTAAAAGTTGTAGCCTATGTGTTCTACCAGCCTAACATCCGTCCATCCATCCTAACATTCGCATTTATAATAATAGTAAGAAGTAAGATTAACAACAACCTTTATGAGAGCCACATCAAAGACGTATAACAAAAACTGTAGAGTAAATCCTGAGTTAATTATTTCATGGAAAATCTAGTTATCAAATATACTACGTGTGAAATTCGTAATAATCGAATATGCTTTAGAAGTTTACTTACCAAGTGAATGAGCAACAAAATTGTATGTTTGGAAAATACTGAACTTCACTTCGTCCCAATTAAATCTGAATCGTGTTGAAATGTACAAAATCGATATTTCACCTGTAAATAAAAACGTAAATTATTAACTTCATATTCATCATCAACTCACTATACGTTCCCAACGAGGGGCTCGGAGCCTACCCTAAATTAGGGGTGATCAAGCCATAGTCAACCACGCTGGCCAAGTGCGGGTTGGTTCACTTCACACATATCTTCATTGATATGTGCAGGTTGCATCACAATGTTTTCCTTTACCGTGAGAATGTCGGATAAATGTACATATGTAAATTGAAAATCGTAAACACATTGGTACATGGCGGAATTCGAACCCAGGACCTGCAGATTACAAGTAAAGTGCTTTAACCCCTGAACCACCGACGCTCTTTATTCTTCTTCATATAGTATTTGGGTTTTGGCCAAATATCTATCGGTATTTGATTGTAGTAAAAAGTATTACTTCTACCAATGATAATATATTTACCGTTCCTTTTATTTGTCATACTTTTGGTTATGATGTAAAATTATTACTCTCTCTAGAGTCGGTACATCATGGCTGATCGTGATCAGCATCAGGATTAGTTCTGAGTATACGATTTTCTAAAAATTTATTTCTATTTAATAGTAAGCAAAGCTCTTACCATACATTGGACCGAACAACATAGCGACCACCGCTAAGAAAATTATCACTCGCGCTCTTCTGTGATTTTCGCCTTTTTTGAATACTGTCTTGACAGTTTCCTTTAAGTTGGACAAGTCGAAAAATGTTTTGCAAAAGTAACGAAAACCTTTACCCTCCTCCTAGTAAAGAAAGAAATTTCTTTTAATAAAGTCTGGATTTTAATATTAGCCAATTTAAAGTATGAAAAGTACATAACAAGTACAAGATTTATGTTAATAGAAAAATATTTGATTGCTTATTTGTTCTGATTAAATTTGTAAGATAATAAACAGAAAATTTTATTATTTGTAACCTAGCAGTTGCTCATGATCCTGTCCGAGCGGAATTAAAAAAAAACTTAATTTGTAGTCTATGTGTTCTTCTAGACAATGCTCTACATCTATGCCAAATTTCATCGAGATCCATTGAGCCGTTTTGAAGATACCTTCTAACAAACATCCTTTCATTTTCTATTACCATAAAGACCCACAAAGTTACCGGACCTGGTAGGCATTCATCATCATCATCATCAGCTCACTATACGTCCCCACAGAGGGGTTTGGAGCCTACCTTAAGTTAAGGGTGATTAGGCCATAGTCAACCACGCTGGCCAAGTGCGGGTTGGTTGACTTCACACATATCTTTGAATTTCTTCTCAGATACGAGTATGTGCAGGTTGGTAGGCATTAGAAGAACTTAATTATGTAGTTTACATATTTTCTGGCAATACCGGGGCAGCAGGGCCTCTCTCATCGGGCCAAAGGGCGAGATAGCCTTGTTTGATTATACTTTAGGCGAATAAAAACGGCGTGTCTATGACTTTCTTTACAATGGATAGTATATTTAATAGCAAATAGAACATGCCGATGATACGGTCCTAAACAAAGAAGGTCTCTCTTTATCTCATTATGATAGTAATTTGAAATATGATAATGAAATAAATCTTTATTGCCTAGACTTTAATTAGATTATAAAACTGGGATTATTGTTATCGTATCGAAAGGTTTTAATTGACATTGTCTCGGTGCATTTGACAAAACTATTTTCCGAACGCCAATTTGAACATCGCGGCGATCTTTGGGGGAGGCCTATGCCCAGCAGTGGGCGTCTCATGGCTGACAGGTGGAGGAGGAATTTGAAAATTAAAATTTATCAAAAAATGTTACAGCTCTTTGTCTATACTGTGAGCGTTAATTACCGAAATATCCTAATTATTATCGCCACCTCTATCATTGACTTAGAAAATAACGAGATAACGATATTTCTTTGTACACGTGTTTTATCAGGAACCTTTCAATTTTTCAATTATTTTCCTTATAGAATATAATACATTCAAATAATGGCAACATTCAAATTTGTTTTATTATCAAAATATTTTTTCTTAATGATTGTGATTTTTCATAGAAAATACATGTTCTTTAACTATTTTTCCAAAAAATATCGAATTAAAAATTGAGTCGTGCTTACCTGTGTTTGTGTTTTCTTTATCGTTGTATCTTTCAAAAAGATTAAATTATAAGTAACATTAGTAACATGTAATGCACACGCTAATCCATAACAACCGTAATATCCATAAGTTTTAAGGAAAAATCCACTGATACCCATTCCTATTGGAAATCCAGCTGACATACTGAAGTTTACTAAACCCATTCGAAATGTTCTATTCTCAGCTGTCGTTATAGAACTGATATATGAAAACACAACAAGAAACAAAACACACCAACTACCAGCTAGACCTTCAAATATTCCATCGAACAAAACGAAATATTCAAGACCTATTTCGTGAAAGAAGTAAGTGTTTATCAAACCATTTATACACACAAGAATTTGTCCCAAAAGTGGATAGATTATAAATATTTTTCTACGTCCAGTACGATCTGACCAGGATCCAACGAAAAGTGCAATAACACAAGGGATAGTCGCAGTTAGATAAGTTTTCCAAGCCATTGCTGACGCTATCAATTTCTGTGTCTCTCTTTCATATGCATTTTGTGACTCCATGTTCTGTGCACGTAGAGAATCACAAATTTCACTTGTATAATTAAGATTAACTCGACAAGCTTTTTCAAGACTTAAATTCTGTGATGTTATTAATACTAAAATTGTTGCAAGCACAAAAAGCATAGCCGTAGGTTCCACGGACACATTATTAAGTACATTTAATAAAGTATCTTTGCTTGATCTTCTTTCTTTTTCTTCTGTATCTTGTATTTTATTTCTTAAAGGATCTATTTCACTAAATTCTGCTTCATTATTATCATTTTCAGTATTTTCTTGAGTCTGAGACATTTTTATATTTTTTCTCCTACAAACTAATTAATTAAAACAACGATATTCCGACAAAGATTTCTTAAGACTGTCACTTGGTGCACAAGCTTCTATATATTGATATTAATTTTGTTTATCAATATTTGATAAAGATGTTTGTAACATAACAACCGGGCAATTAGTACTGTTAGAACAAGATGTATGTATATCTTTAAATCTTATCGTGGCGTTAGCTTATCGTAATCCTCGTAGCTATTATAATAATATTGGAGTCATTGTCATGTCCGGCACAATTTTATATCCAAGATAATAAATCATCTTATAATTTGAATAGGAGAGAATCGGACTTTGTGATATTCTCTCAATTTATGAGTGTCTAGTTACATTGGTGACATACTACTACAAAAGATAGAAGAATATAAAGTTTGTATTGTCAATGGCTTTAGAACCATTCTGAAGTGTACTCTCATTGTCTGATTTGTTACTATGAACTGTTTTCACTGTCAGTATTATTGTATTTATGAATTTAATTCATGAAATCTTTTCCCCCGAAGATACCAAAAATCGTGTAAAGTGGTAAGAATAGTCTCTCAAATTTTTATAATACTTTGAAATTGTGTTACGTAGGATATATCGCCAACTTTCTCTGAGTTTTTCGCCTGATCAACAGTAGAGGTATCTTTGAATGAATCATCAAAAGAATATGTCAATATAACTAGATTGAAATAAAATAATTATCAAAATTATCTATAGAATAGTCTGGTCTACGAGTGCTCATTCGATAAGGGTACGCAAAATCAACATCCGTGACATTGTTTACAATACTCGGCTAACTTAAGTCTATAGGTTTTCTTTTTGTTTTGTTTACTTCATTTCTTTAATCTATAATATAAAAATGAATCGCAAAATGTGCTGATAAGCGCATAACTCAACAACGCCTGGACCAATTTGGCCATTTTTTTTTAATGTTCGTTGAAGTTCAAACATGGTTTTTACGGCGAATAATCGCCGGGAAACCCTCTAGGAACCTTTCTGTAATCGCGCGGATGGAGTCGCGGGCGACAGCTAGTTTATTAATCAGTATTTGGTTATTGTTTTTCGAATTGATAGTTCTGTCTGTACTAAATTCTTCTAATCTGAAATATAAGGTTCCATTCCGTGTTCTCTTTTCGTGGAACCATTGTCGCTATTTAAAGAGAACTGTGAAAAAAAAACCTTTTTTTTTATTTAGGTATATAATTCGTTTTATTTACATAAATTATATTTGTACAGTGCTCGACATTACAATAACCCCACTTGACAATATATTGTCATTATTATATCTAAAATAATCTTATCTATTTGAGAATACAATAAACTTTTGATTTATATTAATAATTTAGGAATTTCGAGTTACATGTAATTGTGAGATTTTTTTGTATGTACAATTTTGTCATGAAAAAAATAAATTCGATTTAAATAATGAAAGTAATCAAAAAGAAATTAATTCTTTAACACCCTCAGCGCCAAACTCTTAAGTGACAGTATAAAAACACACAATTTTTGTTTTTGGTTTGTATTTAAATACTCTGTATACTGTGTGTGTACGATGTGTATACTTTTGTTCACACCGTTATACAGCGTGTTCTAGTCACTGTTTGACAAAACAAAATACACGGCGCTTAAGATGTTAAAAATGTTTTTTTAATATTCAGTTTCAATTTAGAATTCTTTACACGTTATGATATACTTAATTTTAAGGATGCACAGATAATAATTTGGTACTAACCGTGGGTTTCTGATACCGAAATCTTGCTATAAAACATATCGTTATCTCTATCATTCAATTTGACCAAACAGAGATAACATGTTTTAAACAAGGGTTTTGGTTTAAGAAACCCACGATAAGAGCGTCCTTATGATAGATATGGTATTAAATCAACACTAAGGATGTGCTTAGTACTAATCTGGGACTATCAGTGCAGTAGTAAGTAAGCTTTTATTAATTCTACGGACATTTTATATTTTAGTTAAAATAATTTACAATATGATTACAATTTTGATTTTTCAAATTCAGTCTCTATCCTTCCAATTGTTTCCGGTAAATTGTTGCTTATTTGTGGTTTTTGTGCATCTTTTTTCTCTTCGTTTTCTAACGCAGTTTTTCTGGCATTTCTTAATTCTCTTCTATGTTGTGAGTAAAAATATCTGAAAGAAATAAAAGTGAATTAAATTCCTATGAAGAAGTAAACCCGATAGAAGTATTTTTAATATAAACATCACAGACACGATAGTCACAGTTTTTTTTAAATATTGTACTTCTATACGTTGTAACCAACTTCTTTTATAATACTTTCACTGTTCACAAATTGTATCTAATTAATTACTTCAAGTAACATCAGATGAATCATTCCCCAATCCATAAATTTTATACATCGTGTTCTAAAATTTAAAAAAAAAATCGACAAAATTATAAAAACCAAAAGCAAACTCTTTGTAGTTTTATATGATTACGTGTTAGACTTACGTAAGAATGAAGGCGGCGGGAACAATGAAGGCCGCACTAATGAGGAACACCGCCCCCGGCAGCGCGTGCAACGTCCGCATGTACACCCACGAGTAGAAGGGATGGAACACGAGCGAACCGAGCGTCTCAGTTAGAGAAAACAATGAATTCACTTTAGCTGGAACAAAGAACACCATATATTACTAAATAACCTTTAGGATTGCTTGACAGACCCTTAACAGTGGTAGACACCAGCACAACAGCTGTTGCACGAATCGGTCGGCTCGCACCACATAGAAGATAGACTTGAAGTGGAAGCAATTCTTCATTTCTTCTGATGAGATTGGTGTCGAAGGCCTAATTTTAGTTTTCTTTCCCTTCTACCCGTTTCATATAAAGAAAGGCTAGCAAGGGGAAGTGGATTTGATGCATCGCAGTACTTTGATAGGGCAGTCAAAGAGTTATACATTGGTAGAGTTCCCAGCAGTATCTGTTATATACTGTCTTTCGTAGAATGAATGTGATGACTGACGCAAATTTTAGTTTCCAAATACAATATATACTTACCAGTTTCTTGTTTTTCAACCAACTTTGATATGATTGATCGCAGAGATGTAAATGTTGTAGCATTCAGTATTTCAGCGACAGGAACTGCAAATATAGATAAATAAATCTTGGATTATAAATCTAAATAATGGACTGATGTTTATTAGAAGGCATCTTCAGAACAGCGCAATGGATCTCGGTAAATTTGGCATTGATGTTGAACACAGTCTGGAAGAACACATAGGCTACTAATTACGTTTTTTTAAATTCCGCGCGGACGGAGTCGCAGGGCACAGCTACTAGTTATTTACACAGATTTTAGTTACTTATAAAACAAGCAATACTGTTTATCTAGACAATATAACTGTTTTAGTATATTTCCCGTACTTACAACAACACTTGAACATGCACGTAGAACATGGATATGATTAATAATCAGATATTAACAATATTATGAAGAGTCATTCAGTATCAATAAAGTAGATGTAATTATCAAGTACACACTACTGTAATTCTTGATATGTGTGAGGTCAACCAAATTGCACCGGACCGACATGATTAAGTATAACCTAGTCACCTTACCAAGGGTGGGATCGAGCCTGTCGGAGGAAATATGGATTTAGACGACTATAATTCTGGATACGTTAACAATAACACCGTAAATACCTATGGCACTCCTATTTGTTACTAAAAATACTTACTTAAATACATTTCAATATCAGTCTGTACGAATGCAGTCCAAATGGAGCCGAAGAACTTGCTGCTAATCGAGAGTAAGCAGAGGAAGGAGTCGTCGATTTGCAGCCGTTTGCTTAAGATTGTGATTGAGAAAATAGCACCTGAAAATGAAAATAGCGCATTATTAACAACGCACTGCCGAAATCAGATAAGTATTTTTATGATATAAGGTGGCAAGTGAGCAATCGACTGCGTGAATTCGCCCAAATAGAGCGAACGCTGTTCGTAGAAATCCTCAGTTGCAGATGCGTTGCTTTCCTTTAATCGACAGAGAAGGGGACACACTAAAAGAGAATACATGTTTCCCTTTCCTGTGCGTCCACTCCTCTGTCAAAAGAGGACTCTGCCACACCTGCTCGTCTTTTGTGTGGTACTGGTATTGCACCGGTCGAGCCGGTCCATTCAAGCAATACTCAATAGGAATGTGTACATTTAATATGAAGGATGTTCTCAAGAGACTGCTTATGTAATCATCAAATGACTCTGAGTAATTAATAAAGAATTAACGTAAGTTTTATGTACCAAAAAGTAAGCTGCAGTATTAATTAGCATATCATCACGAAACTTGGATTCATCAGATTGAATACTGAACTGAGAATAAAGGACGTAAGTATAATTATCCTTTAAAACCTGTTTTATTTAATAACAAACAAATAAAATTACCAAATGAATGTAGCAGGATGGAGTAACTTGCGTAAAGACCATATTTGACCATGTCCCAGTTGAGGCGATTTCGAACAAAAAGGTAAAAGATTGTGTGCTCCGCTGAAATAATTAAAAAATAAGAAATCAAAAAAATAAAAAAGCCATAAATGCCTGATTTAAAAATTAAAACATTCTTTACATAACGTAACAGTAACGATGTTTCATTTGTTAGTATAGGTTTGCATTGTCACAGTGGAAATAAAGCTTAAACTGTAATGCACATGTATTGAGACAATGTTAGCTGACATTGTTACTGCAGTGGAATGAATTATTATTAAGGTTGAACTTACACATCGATGGTCCATATAAAATGAAGACACTAAACAAGGTCAGAATAACTTTAACACGTCTGTTGGACGGCCGGCGCCGAGTGGCTACATCTACCGTGTCTACTACGTGTGACACATTAAAAAAGGATACTTTAGGTGCCTCTGCACGTTCTATCTGCAAGAAAAATTACATTTCAAGGATCAGGTTTTATAATTACAAGTATATTACCCCTGGGAGCTAAGCTTAATGTATTTATTTTAGTCCTTAGTCTTTAAGAATTAGTAACCATGTCAGACAATTTGTGGTAGTGACAACTCCATTTATAATTTTATTAATTTATAGTTTTTAATATATGTCTCTCTTTCTATTTATCTCTTCTCTTACTTTGGTTAAGAGATGTCGCAGTTTTCTTCTCATAGTCTAC